TTGTGGGTCACTCTTCTGGGACACTCTTGTGGGACACTCTTGTAGGAAACTCTTGTGGGTCACTCTTGTAGGACACTCTTGTGGGTCACTCTTGTAGGACACTCTTGTGGAACACTCTTACAGGACACTCTTGTGGGACACTCTTGTGGGACACTCTTATAGAACACTCTTGTGGGACACTCTTGTAGGACACTCCTGTGGACTGCTTCAAGGGGCGTCATGAGAAACAAATGCCCTTGATTCTGCTCGTCCCTTTGCGAAGGGTGTGGCACGACTGTATACAAAAGGCTATCAGCAAGACGCGCTCCCCTCATGAGGTCATTGATCTGAAGGGACCATGGTCGCCCTTCTGACATACCCCAAGAAAAAGGAGCTCCAACACTCTGGCGGGCATTGCGAAAGAACCACCCAAAGAGGTGGCCAGCCTGGCCAGCACCTCCCCCAAAACCCTGAGTTCCCAATTGAGCCTTGAGCAGGTCGAAGTGCCTGTCAACCCAAACCCAATAAAGTTCAGCCATGTGCAACCTTATTGGAGGAACCCAAGGCAATCTATGGGTCGCCGTGGATTGCAAATGCTGCAAAGAATACGAAGAACGACCATCATCAAAACTAGCCTTAATGCTCTGCTGCAAACCAGCAAAGACATCATCATCTTCATCTCCTGGTAGAAGCTGACTTCCTCTGATACGCAACGAGGTTGCAGTGTTTACCTCGTTAATCTCCTCATGGTCACTGATTTCTCCGGCGCAGTGATTGTTGGAAAGACCCTTTTCGACACGATGAGGTCGAATAACAGATCCATCAACAAGATCCACAGGATCATTCCAATGCCAAACAGCCATACCCTTGTCCAGCCCTCCAGCCAAGTCCTGCAGCACACTCTTGGTGTACCCTCATCAAGTAGCTTCGAGCAGTATCACAGTCTTCTTTCTTCAGCTTGCACTGGGCTTTGGCATAGGCCACCAGGTTGGTCAAGAATACTCCCATGGGCAGCTCACAAGGCAAAAGAACCAAAAGAACTATACACACGTCATCTTGCGGCTTGGCGATGTACCAGCCCTGAGCATTGACCGCGTTTGGCGACTTGATGGCCCAATGTCACTCGCTTGATGTACCTCAATGCGCAAACCATGCGGTACATCTCAATCTCTTCAACGCTAGTGGTATCCAGCGATCCGTCAGCATTTACGAGGTGTGACTCTTCATACCTTGCTTGTATTTTGATCAATCTTGGCTCGAGCACATCTGACGAAGTCAGTCTTACCACCGCTTTTTCAGAGGGGTGGCGCACCACATACCCCTCGCTTGGCAACCGCAGCATGCCAAGAACCTGGGGCATAGTGCTCCGTGAATGGGAGTTGGATGCATCCGCCTCACCGATGAACCATGACCTAGACCCTGCATCATTCACTCCCTCAACTCCAGAAGCAGCAAAGACCTCCCATAAAGGGGCATGCGCTC